TGCTTTATTAATCGTTTTAATAATTAAGTGTCCAATGTAAATGTTATATCATAGATATTTTCAGTCATAGCTAAATAATTTCAGAGATCTGTGTGTAGAGCTTTGTCTGGACACAATGGTATATCATCAAATGCTACATGTAGGGAGAGTGTGACACTCTTTTCATGTTAAAAATAATACACTTTTGAGATTGACACCTTTTTTTCTTTCAGTGCTTAACTTTTTTAGTAAATTTAATATTTCACTTTATTATCCCCTATTTAAGGGGTTCTTACTCTAATTCATACACTTTTACAATAAAAGAAGGAAAAATATATACTGGAAAATAAGAATTGAGGGACAGCATGTATTACAACTGTTAAAATAAATCTCTCATGTAAAAATGAATATTTTCAAGATGTCAACACAATTTAATACAGCCAAAATGAACAAAGTTTCGATGGTATTAAAGGTGATAAGCATTAGTGGTTCCTTTCATAGTTTAAGTACAGAGTGGTTTTACTGTTGACGACTACTATACACATTAGGGTTTCAGACAGTTGAAACCGCCACTTTAAAATTGTGATGGAAATGTATTTTTTTATTGTACAGCGGCAAATATTTCACGCTGGATGAGGACGAATCAAACAATACATCAAATAATTAGGTACTGCAATTAGACTGACAGGGACGGAGTACTGGACATTTAGACTGACAGGGACGGAGTACTGGACATTTAGACTGCAGTTTGTGGACTTAAATTTTACTTGCATCAAGCTACTTGAAAAATCCCCCAAAAATTGTTGTAAGGGTATTTTTCAAGTAGATACTGTATAACACTTTCACCACTAGGTATTTGATTGAACATAGATTCCAAGTAAACTTGGTTTGTATTTAAACTTGGTTTGTATTTGATATATTCTGACATATGCAGGCTCCTTTTGTGGTGTGTAATTTGTATCAAATCTGACTAGAACATCTATCCCATACCAACATAACCAATACATTTATAAATGTATAAAAGTAAAGGACAATTCCAAATACTACAGAAAATGAAAACTAAAATGATTAATCAAGCAAGGAGCAATTATTAAGCCCCTACAGCAAGACTCTAAATGGAATGGAAAATGATAGGTGTGCTAACAGGCACTTTGTCTCTGAAAAAATTTACCTATATACTTTAAAATAGCATTAAAGTAAAAATAGCATTAAAGTAAGTAGGTAAAATTTGTTCAGAGACAAGTGCCTGGGGTTGTGCTGCATTAATACAACAAAATTGTCAGAGTATTTGTATATTAGTATGTGTTTCTACAAAATAGCAATTGATAAAAAAGAAAACTAAAAAAGTATTTGTACCTTTAGATGTTGCTAAGTCCATATTGTGATTTGCCACTCAAAAGTTATGCCAATCACTGTTTGTAGATGTGTTTTTTGTATGGAAGTCCCAGATTATGTGGATTAAAAATGTTTATGGGATGGTAATTGATATTCACCTCTGACTATGGAACCGTTTTAAAGAGAAATTTGTGTCATTTTTTTTCAGCGAATTTCCTACGTAATTCTGACAAACAAGTCCACCCAAAACAGACAACTGAATATCTAGGCAATACAAACACTACCCACTTGATAGGGGTGAACTCGTGTGCTTCGCAAGGGTCAACCTTTCCACTAAATATACTGGTCAATTCCTGTTTGTAGTCACAGTGGCTTCTCGGGCAATTTTCTTGTAGTTGAATCTTTTTCTACAGTAATAAAGGATTTTCATTTTCACTAAGCTGGCTAAACATTTGTTTTACATTTGTCATTTTGGGGCCTTTTATAGCTTACTATGCGGTATGAGTTTTGCTCATATATATATAGTTGAAGGATGTATTTATTTTTTAGCTCTTACCAGACCAGTTACTAGATCTTACTAGAATATTCTTATGAAGAATCATCCTGACCCAAACTCAACCCAACACCCTGAAACACCATGAAAAGTAAAATGATTTTCCCTTAAAAAGGGAACCCTGTAGCATTGACCTGACAAGTTTTTTTTGTATATTTTCAAAGGTAATAAATAATTCCCTTTTAGCTCACCCGAAGGGTCAACAGAACTATTTTCATCACTTGGCGTCTGGCGTCAGTCATCATTGTTTTTTAAATTTTACAAATTCTCCTCTGAAATTCCTAGGCCAATTTGAACCAAGCTTGGTCATAATCAAAATTTGGGTATCTAGTTTAACTTGAAAATGTATCCGATGATCGCGCCTACTAAATTACATGACAGTTCACTCTTTACACGAGTTGTTGTTGCCCTTTAATGACGATTTTTTTTTACCCTTTTTTAATATGTGTTCGTCAAAAACTATAGAAGACAAAAAGAAACTTTAATTCTACTTCTTGTAAAAATTATTGCCCTTCAATGGCAATTTTACCCCAGTTGTTTGTATTTTGGAAAAAAGCTAAAGTAGATGGAGAGAAACTGATCAGCAATTCAAGATTAACAAAAAAAATAGATCACAGTCATGAATCATATGCTAGTTTTTAATGTTGGAGAGAGGCCATTGATGAATATGCAAATAGACCCAGGTGAGCGACACAAGGCTCTTAAGAGCCTTTTGTTCACCTAAAAATACAACGCTAAATTTTGGTTACTAGTACATCCTACAAAAAATGTTTCTTTAATTGCTTTTGGTCCATATCCACAAATAGATTTGGTGTTATATAAATAACACATAGCTGAGAGGGTGATAGAGCAGATTGTTACCCCGAGAAAACATTGTCAACCGCGGCGAAGCCAAGGTTGACAATGCTTTTTCGAGGGGTACCAATCTGCTCTATCACCCTCTCAGCTATGTGTTATTTAATTTATTATACTGAATGTCCTATCATTATTGTCTGTACAGATAATTTTTATTTAAAAAAAAAATTCTATGCCGTCACGTACATAACAACGTTACGGGTATTAGAGGGAAAAAAATTAAGCAAAATGTTTTATTTTTTTATTTTGACAGTCAAATAATAAAATCTGAGCCAAAACAAAGAAGGTATAAGCATTGTATCTAATTACTTATTCAATTCACTGTCCTTTAAATTATCAATTTTTGATTGGTCTGGACGAGAGGGTAACATTCAAAAAAATTGTCACCCGCTCAGCCATTTGATAGAGTAAATTAACACCCTCGTATTAGCCAATCAAAATATGGCATTTTAACGTGAAGTATAATAACATCAATTAAAACATCTTTCCCATAATTTAGATAATAAATAAGTAAACAACTGAAAATTATGGTCAGAAAAAATCTCCATATTTAGTCAGAAAAACATTATATCAAATTGAAAACATCTAAACATACTTTTATTTTACTGACATTTTCAAAGGTAAAAAAATGCCTGTTTATAAGCATGAAATCAAAAGTAGTTTGTGTGCTATATCTTAAACAAGTATCTTACCAAATTAGACCAAACCTTTCATAAAGTAGTTATCAAAATAAAATTCCTGTTAGAAGGCAATTAACACGTTGGAACAAACAACAAAGAATAGCAAGAGTAGACTTTTACAATAGGAATTAAGTTATGCACGAAAATGAAAATTCAAACAGCATCGTTGCAAAAAAATGAATAATCGTTCCTTGCATCATTGAAAATAAATATCTTTGCGGGGAAAAAAATCCATCCATCTGCAATAACCCCAGCCCCTGAATATCCAATGGTTGTCTTTTTATCTAAAACATCTAAAACAAATTTTACCTACGTATTTACATTTTCAAAGGTCAACATTTACATGTGTAAAAGCATCGAACAGCTTATATGAATATTTATGATTCAAACATTTTAATGTTGTATGAATATTTATAACAATTATCCTACCAAATTAAAAAAAAACACCTTTAATTCATAAATTACATATTAGAATGTCATTGAGTCCTATCAAAAGGCAATTTACACCTTGGATCAAACAACCAAAACCATCTACAGTAGAACTACAATAATGCATATTATATAGGCTGAAAGTGGAGTCTATTTATGTAAATGATTCAGGTACCGACCATTCATCTTTTATGGGGGTATGGAGGGTTTTTTTTATAAATAAAATGTATGATAATTTGCTTCAGAAGCTAGGGAAGAGTGAAAAAAAAACACACAATATGCTTCCATTGAAAATAAGCGGGGAAAAACAAGTCCAACATTTATTTACCAAAAATAAAAATCTTGTTCCTGTATGTTATTGAAAAAAATAGTGTGTTATTAATTCAAAGACGGAAAAAGTGTCAAACCTCAGGAAACAAACCCCCTTCCAAAATAAAATTTAAAAATAAGATGAATGGTTGGTTCCTAATTACTTTTTATCTCGGAAGAGCAAGTGTAGGCTTCAGTCAATATGAATACTTCTGAAATTACTAAATGTGACGACAGATATCTAAAATATGAATACAGTTCTGGTATTGTCAGACCTGCCAACTTTTCTTATTTATCCAATGAGATGTGTGTCATTGAAATCCTGCATTAGAAAAACCTTACCTCACAACCATTATTTAAATGTGTCTCAATTGCATTTAAGAACATTTACTCATCTCATTTAAAACCATAGTAAGATGAGTTAAATCACTTATGTCTTGTTTAAGATATATATTAGGTCCTCTAATGCCAAAAATCTAACATGGAGATTTAGAGAAGTTGACCTGTCAGGTATTTAATAAACTTTATACCAGAAATGATTAGTTGTTAACCACAAAACTGTAAATTCAGAAAGTATAGTGCGAAAAGTATTATTGTGAATCCTTGACAACTTGCAAAAATGAAAAATCTTAAAATGCGAATGCAAAACTTTTATGGAGGAAAACAGAGACTATTGAAATTATGAAAGGAAGTTTTTATTATATGAAACTGGTCACATTTTCATTATTAATAAAAAAAACAAAAAACAACAACAACAATTTCTGAATTTACAGTATGTCATTTTCCAGAGAAATAATAATCATATTACAAGAGTTATAAAATGATTAATAAACTTATGAAATTTGTTTGAATTATTTCAGAGAATAAGTATGCCACCTGATGAAGGTAAACATGGCGGCCACCACAATCCAGTCCATCATTGCTATCCACATTTCACATGTGCCGTGGATACAGAAAATATAAAACGGGTGTTTCGGGACTGTCGAGACATAATTCAGCGGATTCATCTCCATCAATATCAGTTGTTATGAAATTCATATGATGGTGACCAAACTGTTTATTCAACCTTAATATAATGAACTATGATGACAGAAAGGTACACAAAACATGATGGACTGATAGAGTGAACCTTTTACATTGTTTCAATATTGTGCTTTACATGATTGACAAATAATCTTACAACCAAAACCATACATACATGTGACCAATTTTACAATTAAGTCATTATTTTTAAATCTGTTTTTATAGTTGTTTAAATCTGCGTCATGGTGGATTGTTGCCTAATTAGCAGTCATGGATTTTTCATAAGTCTGTTTTTTTAAGTCGAATAAATTGTTGGTCATAAAAAAAACATGACCCCCCTTTCAGAAGATGAACGGTGGGTGCCTAAACTAGTGGCTAAAATGGTTAAAAAGATGTAAGGCTTTGGTTGTAGAGCGAATATTTGTTTTGATGCATACTTTAAAAGGTTATATGTTGATGCTATTTATAATATAAACTAAATAGAGGGCTAACAGAATTTATATGACATTCCTCTATAAAGACCTGTAGTTCAAAATAAAATCCTGAATAAGGCAGAAGTAATTCACAAAATCATGAAAATATAATCTGTAAATATTTTGTTTTAGTCAGGATATGTGCTGTATAGACACTTAACGGTTTTATGGTTAAATCCTTTAGCAATGATTGTCATTGTTAGATTATGCTTGAAAAATTGTAAAATTGTTCAATTTTCATAGATATGTACGAATTTCGAAACTTGTTCTTATATTAAGAAAATCTCCACATCATTTATTAACGAATTTCTCCATAATATTTATTAACTTTTAAGAAAGTTGACATGCAATTGTTATAAATGGTTTGAAGAATGGAATGCAGATTAATCCAGAGTGCTATCTATTTTTAACAAAAAATGATAATTCTCCAGATTTACAAACAATTTATATTTTGCGCTTGTTTATTATATGTAATGCATTTTGTATGGATGTATCTGCAAGTAAAAGTGTTCAAGTGTTAAGATGATTTATATGACATAAGGCCAAGCCAAATTAAATTGCTGATCTCTAGACTTAATAACGCCTACAGTTTCTAGATAAAAATTTAAATAGAATTCTTTCAAATTTTATGTTGTTTTTTTAAAGTTAAATCTAGAAGTTGCAGGTAATAAAGTAGCTGTTCGCTTCCTAAAAAGATCCTACATCAAGTTGAATGACATATGTATTTGCTGTAAGTCTGTTCATTAATTATTTGTAAATTTAGAAAAGAGAAATTGAAGTAAAGATACTCCTTGAATTTAAAAGAAAAAACTCTAGAGAACAACACGTTATATTTGTGTGGTCTGTTAGTGTATATCATGGGTCTTATGAATATTAATGCATTTTTCAAAAGAAATTAAGAGATGTAGCAACCTGAAAAAAAACATATTTTTTACCATACAACAAAAATTGTTGTGAATACAAACTTGTGATACAATTTATTTCTCCAGGAACAATTGTGAATTAACTGTTTTTAAGAGGTGCAAAACCTTTTTTTTTTAAACTAGTTTGTTAAAAGTTAACTTTTAATAACAAAACTTAGTACCTTTTTAAAAAAATCTCAATGATGTTTAATTATCAAACATATCCTTTTTTCAAAACAAGTGTTTAAACTTTCAATACAAAACTTTACACCATTTATAAAAAAAATGCTTTTTGGAACGGAACTTCCAGTTCTCAGGCTGTAACATCTCTTTCATGTTATGCAATGCAAGTCCTAGATTGTTTCTCACTAGGTGCTGTTATATTTATCAAGCTTTGTATGTCGAAAGAAGTACACGTGTCTTATTTGACAGTAGTCCGTCTTGTAATGTGTATTTTTTTAAAATTTTAACAAAACAATTCGTAGTTATACACAGATGTGGATTCAAGAATTGAGGGGTGGATTGAAAACCCTCAAGAGGTTGTTTCAGTTTTTAGTTAGCCTGATTTAATCATTTCAGTTTATTTGAAATGAAAGACTTAAAACTTTCAATAAAAATGGAAAAGAGGGCAGTTTTCCTCTGATAACTGTACTGTTAATTCAAATAATTTAATATATGTTTTTTGCTCTTCAGAATTTTAAAATATAAGATGTGACAAACACTGTTGTGGATTCATTTATTTTCGTAGTTACAAATTTTAGTGGATTAAGGAAAAATTATTTTCATGGAAACATGAATTCATAGTTTTAACAAATTCTGCACTCAAGTTTATGGAAAATTGGTATTTTGTTGGAACACTTGAATCCATAGTTTACTTAAACATAAGAAATCCACAAAAATTAGTAATCCACCAATATTAATGATCCAAAGTATTATCATTTAGCAATTTTATTGTCCAGGGTATATCCTCATGCACATATATTGTATATTGTATAAATGTAACATTTAGAGATTTCTTATGTAGAATTTTTGTGGTCACACAAAATATTATTAGAAAAGTTATTTATATGAAAATAAGAAATAACCAGTGCTTTAAATATTTTTTCTTCTTGAAGAAAACATGTAGAATAAGTAGTAAGAAATAAAAGAGAGTTATTTCTGTGTTATTAATCATGATAAAAGATATATAGAATGTATGTTGACCTCTAGATGTTTTGGTCATTTCTGCTGTTGGTGAGCTGTCTTATTGACATTGACATTTTCCATATATCCCCGCTTTTCATATCTTTCAAAGGTCTACTCTATTACTAATTTTTTCAGAATCCCTTTAATTTAACAGCAGTGCATGTGAGCCAGGGACTTTCAAAAAAGAAGGAATGACCACTAGAAATATAGCGGGTAAGAAGGCATTCAAAACTGAGACTACTATACCACATTCTCAGGTCAAAATCAAGAAAATTGCTATAAAAATCACAAATTTATGACCATTCATTCTGGATTCAATTCCGAACAGCTGCTGTGTGAAATATAACAACATTTATAAACAAACAGCACAAATATGGTAATTATCATGTATTTTTGCAAGAAATTCAATGAATTCAGAGAGTGTTACATCAAAAACAACTAACCCAGCAGAATGAAACAAGATTGGTAAAAACATTGAACATCAATTTCAAATAACAACCCAAAAAAATATTCTTTACTGACAAATAAAATTGGTCTGAACTAGCAAATTTTAGTCCAGAACAAACAGAATAAAGCACCAGAGATTGACACACAATAGTTCACCTGATCATTAGTCATCCCTATTTGTATTTTAATAGCTGAAAACCTGTGGAATAAACTAAATGTGTTATTCGTATTCGCTAAGCTATTATTTTACAGGTGTCTCCTAGTGTGAATTTAAGGTCATGCTAAAGAAAGTATTTTAAATGTCAAAACCTATTTTTGTTTTAAACTGTTGCTTTTTGAACAATTTTTTGAGCTGGAACACTTTCCAAAATAAACATGATAATGATATTCCACATGCCCATACTTTTACAGGTGTCTTCTAGTATAATGAATGAATGTCAAACTATTTGGAAGTATTTCAAATTTCAAATGTCAAACAATTATTTTGATCAAAGCGGGAACAGTTTTCACCTGTCATCTATTAGCACAAACGATGTATAGTAGATAGTGACATCAAAAATTATCTAGATGAGATTTTTTGTGTAAAATTCTTGATATATAAGGTTAAAATGTTAAAAGATGTTTACAGTAAACACCATATTTAAACTTTACAAGTAAATGTACGATAAATAAATGATTACTAAATTTGGTTTCCGATTTTAATAGTTATAAAGCACTTAAAAAGATTTATCCACAAAGACAGTCAAATCCATGTCATTTTTGACGGAATAGATGATTTAGTTTTGCAAAACAAATGCATTAAAAGAAAATATTTTCAAATCTTTTTCTTTTGTTGGATATACCCCAAATGAGCCAGCAACCCAACAAAAGACATACGGGGTCAACCTATGATCCTGCTTTTAATAAAAACTTTTTACATAATGTCTTAACTGAGCGATTTCAAATAGTTTGTAATCGATTTATGACTATTGAACAGAGGTATACTGCTGTTACCTTTATATATACAAATAACTTCTTCGCTTTCTGTTTGACTTTTTTTAAAATATGAGGCTGGAATTCATATGTATAAATAGTACAATTGATTTATGAAAAAAGGTATGAAACACTAATTAAAACGTTGATTCTTATGGTAGGTCGGGTGTCTTCCGCCATCTTGGTTTGTAAAATAGCAGAAAACTTTCGGTCTAGATCTTAAATGAAAAGTACAAATTTTGATAGGAAAATGTTATTCATTTGTTAGTCTTTTCATCTGAATGAAGAACATTTATGTTTTTTATCATATATGTGCGACTGTTTTTTTCAAATACAGAATATATTTGTTTGATGCATTTTTTTTCTTCAAATTTGCCATATAAGGGGAGATAACTCAGATAATGTAACATTAATACTGGAATGGGTTATGAATTTACCAATTTGATTTGTAGCAAGAAAATGAGTCCCGTTACCCTTAATTTTTATTTTTATTTTCTGAAAGCTGATCCAAGACTACTAGAGCTAGACTGGTACATGTGACATATTACCTTAAATTTGAATGTTAAAGTCCAATAACTCTCGAATAAAAAATGATTTTTTTTAAATCAAAAAGTACCTTACTTTTACCAATACCAACAAATTAAATCGGAAAGTCTCGTAAGACTAAAAATACAAACCAGAAAATATTCAAAATCATAAGGGAGTTTCTTTTAATCAATCCAAATAACAGCATAAAGTTTTGAGCTAATCAATCTATGCATAGTGTAGTTTATTGTGTGCAATTTGTGAGAAATTGCCTTAAACCTGAAAGACAAAGTCCTGTAACTCTGGAACGAAATAAACAAAAAAAAAAACAAAGGGGAACCTACTTTCATCATTAAAATTACATAGATATATGTGAACTGGAGTTAGTGTGTGATACGTAAAACAAATTGCGATTAATTTGAGGGTTAAAGTTCCATAACTCTGGAACAGCAAATCAACATAAATTTTAAATCGAAAGTGAATTTTCTTTCGTAAATTCTAATGTTGTCTTAAAATTTCATGTAAATTAATTGCGTTAAAGCAAACTTAAGATATCGTACTACATGTTGATATATTGATTTAAGTGCAAACGGACAAACTATGGTATACCATAATACATCCTGTCGATGAAGGGGTATACAAAATATGTCTCTATTTCTTTTATTTATCTTATCTATTAATGTAATGTGATTCACTAAAAATAAAGTAGTCGTATTTAAAATTAGCAAATTACTTAGTATGACAAAACCAATTCATTTTGTATTAATAAGAGTAAAAAATTTTCTGGATTTTGATGTGCACTTTTGTTGGTTGACTTTTAGTCCCCGAGGGTATCACTAGCACAGAAACCAGAACTTCAGTACTGACATAAAAATATTGATATTGTTTAATGAAATTAGATATTAATAAATTTCGGAAATCCTTTTGAAGTAAGGAATATATTTTTCTCATACAACGATCTGATTCCTTATGCAGATTTGGCTATACTTTAGGTCCGTTTTGGTTTTATTGTCGAGCCTGCGACTTTTGTCGCAGAAAGCTCGACATAGGGATAGCGATCCGGCGGCGGCGGCGGCGGCGGCGGCGGCGGCGGCGGCGTTAGCTAACTTCTTAAAAGCTTTATATTTTAGAAGATGGAAGACCTGGATGCTTCATACTTTGTATATGGATGCCTCATGTTACGAAGTTTCAGTCAGTCACATGTCCAATGTCCTTGACCTCATTTTCATGGTTCAGTGACTACTTGAAAAAAAAGTTCAGATTTTTTGTAATGTTAAATTCTCTCTTATTATAAGTAATAGGATAACTATATTTGGTATGTGCGTACCTTGCAAGGTCCTCATGCCCGTCAGACAGTTTTCACTTGACCTCGACCTCATTTCATGGATCAGTGAACAAGGTTAAGTTTTCGTGGTCAAGTCCATATCTCAGATACTATAAGCAATAGGTCTAGTATATTCGGTGTATGGAAGGACTGTAAGGTGTACATGTCCAACTGGCAGGTGTCATCTGACCTTGACCTCATTTTCATGGTTCAGTGGTTATAGTTAAGTTTTTGTGTTTTGGTCTGTTTTTCTTATACTGTATGCAATAGGTCTACTATATTTGGTGTATGGAATGATTGTAAGGTGTACATGTCTAGCTGGCAGGTGTCATCTGACCTTGACCTCATTTTCATGGTTCAGTGGTCAAAGTTAAGTTTTTGAGTTTTGGTCTTTTTTTCTAATACTGCATGCAATAGGTCAGCTATATTTGGTGTATGGAATGATTGTAAGGTGTACATGTCTAGCTGGCAGGTGTCATCTTACCTTGACCTCATTTTCATGGTTCAGTGGTCAAAGTTCAGTTTTTGAGTTTTGGTCTTTTTTTCTAATACTATATGCAATAGTTCAACTATATTTGGTGTATGGAAATATTTTATGATCTATATGTCAGTCACGCAGGTTTTATTTGACCTTGACCTCATTTTCAAGGTTCATTGCTCAGTGTTAAGTTTTTGTGTTTTCGTCTGTTTTTCTTAAACTATAAGCAATAGGTCAACTATATTTGTTGTATGGAAGAATTGTTAGCTGTACATGCCTGCCTAGCATGGTTCATCTGACCTTGACCTCATTTTCATGGTTCATTGGTCAATGTTTAGTTTACTTGGTTAATGTTAAGTTTATGTGACAGTTGTAATAAAGCTTTATATTTAGGACTATCAACATAATATCAATGATTAGTAAAGAAGGCGAGACATTTCAGCGTGTGCACTCTTGTCAGATGTTTGTATTAGGTTTTGGGTTTTCAAATATTTTGGCATCGAACATCACTGAAGATATGTTAAAAGTTGAAATGCTCATCTGGTGCAGAAAAAAATGGTACTGTTAAAGTGTCCAAAGTGAACTTGGTTGGGTAAAATATTTTCAGATGGTCACTTCAGGTAGAAATAGTATTGTTTTATATTGATTGATATGGACAGTAGAGGGACAGGGTCCCAGTAGATACCTGAACGACAAAAGGTGGTTTTGTACAACTGAGTGGAAAGGCAATACAAGTCCTGTTCTTTTTTATTTTTTCCCATGTGCATATAGTGAATACCGGTATGTGTCATGAAAAGATACGCCATATCTTTTTCTTTTATATTAAATCAAAATCTATTAAAAGTTTTAATTTTCCGAAACTTTTATTGCATTTAACTTTTATATATCTAGATCCTGCCAGGCTGTAACACTTTTTCCAGTTGCACAGTTTTGTCTGTACTTGAAATAAATTTGGTTGTGTTAACACGGCCATTTTTGCCAAAGGTTATGACAAGCATTAATCAAGATCTAATCATTTGAATAAATGATGAACAGAACAGCTACACTGCAATCTTTAATCATAACGGTATTTTAAAATTTTGTATTACTATGTGAAAAGGCTAGGTTGTAAAATTTGACCATTTCAATATAGCAAATGCATAACGTTAAGATTTTTATGTTTGTTGTACATGTATGAATTATAAAATTATCTTGATGATTCTGGGTTGAATGTTATTTTGTACACATACT